TCTTTTCATCATGAGTGAGAGCAACCCTAGATCCTTACTAGAAGCCAGGTAAATGCAGCTTCCTGAGTTTGGACTTTTAGTCTCCAGAACCATGAGCTAATTAACCCTCTTTTATTTATGTTGCCTAATCTAGGGTCTTCTGTTGTAGCAATAGAAAACAGACTGAGACGGTGTGTTCTTTTCTACAGTTACTCTTTGAGTGCCTACCATGTGGGCTGTAGTGTGCTGGGTACTATAGGGAATATACCAATTAATTTGACACAATCTCTTTTTTTCTGAACATTTATGAGGGTATTAGCAATTTTATTGTGCATTGTTTTTTGGTTAATGAAGCTGAGTGAAAGACATCTTGAATCTAGACCTGGAAGGGCTATCAATGAATTGTCTTGCTGGAACTCTACAATAACTTGGTGAACAAGGCATAAGTAAAGTCAAGTCACAGAAGTTAGGGATTTGCTCAAATTTATAGGGAAAGGAGAGCTGGGAACCCAATGTTCTAAGGGTTGAGTGACAGTCCTTTGACTCTACCATTTTGCTCTGTTTCTTCTAGCACCACTATTAATATATTAAAGCAGAGGCTGGGAGCGAGGGAATCAGAGAGGTAAAACTGGGGTGGAGAAAACAATGCTCAGAAAGTATTGAGTGGGTATCTCAGTGAATGAGTGTCTGTGTCTGTGTGAGTGTATCTGAGTGTGTATATGCATATCGCAGTGTGTACATGCATGCATATATGAGTGAATGTGAAGGTACATGAATTTTTGAGTGTGAGTGTATCTGAGTGAATAAGTGTATATATATGAGGATGTATTTGAGTGTGTATCTAAGTGTATGTGACTAGATGTGAGGAAATATGCCTTTGAGACTTAGTTAAATGTGCCGTTTGGTTATTGTCTCCTAAAAATTATACAGTCTATTTACAAAGACTATTAGAAAATAAAAATTAGTGGCAGTTTTAGAAATATTAAAAATATGTCTAGACTCAAAGGCTATCACTATCTGCGAGGAATTTTATTTTTTTCCAAAACAGAGTTTATTAATAAAGGCCAGTTTAAATTTCTTCAGATTTCTATAGAAATCTAAGAACTACTTTCATCAACTAGAGATGTCTGGGGGGTTGGAAGGGAAGATCAGTATCAATAACCATTAGTCAATAAGAGGAGGCTTAATTTCCTGCTTTTCTTCAACTGCCTGACCATTGTTCCTTCTTGTGGAGGGAGGGAAGAGCTTCCATCCCATCACCTTGAATCAGAAGAACATTCTTTTACAACCAGAGATGTGAGAAGACAGACACAGAAAAGACATGAACATCACTGTGTTACGGCAATTTGTAGATTTAGGCAAGTCCTAAAGAGTGATTTTTAGGTTTCTGGTATTTTAAAAACATTATAGGAGCTTTTTGAGACTGGGTGTGTCTGTGTGTGTTTGGCTAAAGAAACAAGTAACTTCGCCATTGCAAGTATGGGTAGTGTTTCTTCCCTTTGGTGACTTTATATTACTACCCTGTTCTTCATCTCTCACACGTACAGCTGCAAACATTTGCCCATTCATTATGCATGCAAACAATAAATGCTCATTGAATGTGTGCCACATTGCTCTGCATTTGGCATTATACCATCTAAAGGAATGCAGAAACTTGATCTTGGACTTCCAGCTTCCAGAACAGTGACAAAATTAATTTTCTTCCCAACAGTGCAAGAGATAAGAGTGTGAGAATCAGCCTTGAGATTTTTCCTTTGTTGACCACTCCCCTCTTCATATTACCACATCCTGGATGTCATTTCTTTCTTTTAGGTAGCCTTGCTTTGATCCATTTGAATAACTTCTTTGGTCCTTCCCAAGATTGTCCTATGGGATAACTAACAAGATAGTGTATACACCTGGGCTGGCAACTGGCCAGGACTCACTACTGTGGCCATACTGTTTGTTACTGTGGTCAGTCCTGATCAGAATATACCTTTATGATTTGTCATGCCCATGCAATGTGGTTGCTAAATAATGTGAATGCTATTTCTATCTATATTACACCATGAAGTATGAAGAGAAATTGATCACATCAAGCAGTTACGTCAGCTTTCTCTATAGGCAGACTTGGCTATTTGAGAACTGTCAAAAGAATCCCCGTTTCCGAAGTGGCAGCCCCATCAGCCTCTGACAGAACTAAAATCCAGAAGCTAGAGTCTCTCCTAATGAATTTGATTATATTTACCAGAAAAGATAATCAACATATTTAATATTTAAACCTTACCTATATATCACTCACTAGCAAAACTCTTTAAATGGAATGTCCATTTATCATCACAACAACCCTACTATGAAGAAGCTGAATCAACTGAGGATTAAATATGTTAAATAATCTGTTTAATGTTATCATCTATTTAAGAATGAAGAGATTCAAACCCTAAGATTAACCTTTATGCTGAGAACAGGAGCCTGTGGCTGTGGTCTACAGTTGAGCACTGTTCTCACACATTCTCCTCCTAGCTTTCTTCATTCCTAAGAAAGTAACCCTGTTTTCCAGGGTATGCAAAGCTCTTTTCCAGCTCCTTTTCCCAGAGGGCTACCTGGGGTAAAACTTACCCATCTCTTCCATGGCTGGCTCCTATCCTAACTATTCCCCAAAAGTTTCCAAGCCCATGTTCTTGACACTTGCTATACCACCTGATGGGGGTCATGTCTTTCATATGGGTACATCACAGTACTGTGAAAAGGATCCCCACTTCCCAAAACAACACCTTCACCAGCCTGTGATGAAGCATAAAATTCAGCAGCTGGATTTTCTTACAAATAAACAGTGTTCTCACACATTCTCTTCCCACCTTTTTCATGCCTAAGAAACTGATCTTCTCTTGTTTGTTTGCTTATTTATTTTCTGAATACCAATAGTAGGATGTAAGTTCCATGACGACAGGACCCTAGTCTTTCTTACACATGGCTGTGTCATCAATATCCAGGGTCAGTGCATTCCATATAGTAGGAACTCTCTACATATGTGCCAAATGCCAAAGGGTTTGTGATCTATCAAACCCTTTTGCTCTTCAGAATTAAGACTTGAGAGGGCATGTTCTTGACAGAATGGGAAATATGGCAGCCCATTCATCTGAGTGGACTCATCATTACATCCTCAAGAAAAAGAATTTTTGGAGATATCAGAGAATATAGGCACCAAGGCAAAAAGGGAGGCTGCCCTATAAAGTAGGGGAGTCTCTGAAACAAATTTTTGTTGACTAATAGTTTTGACTATAGTAATAGTACTATAGTCTTTTTCCTGAAAAATAATGCTTGGGCTTTGTTTGCTTATTTCCAACTACTAGCTCCTGCCAACAACAATATATTAAGAACTTAAAGTATTTAAAGAACTATCCTAGGTGACTAAGATGATTAATAAGACAAAAAAAAAATCCCTAAGGACTCTTATGAAAATTGGGAGAGAAAGGGAATCATTACCAAATGGGTTTGTCCTGGTGGGGGGGGGGGAGGTGGGACCTGAGCCAGGCCCCAGAGTATGGAGAGGATTAGGGGAGACTTAGGTGAGAATTTTGATCAAAAGCATGCTCTCAGGAATGTTAGGAGTGTGTCTGGGGACTGTAAAGGACTAGTTGGCAGGAAGTAGACCTTGAAAATGATGTTGAAATTTTTGAATTTTCTCCCGAGTTCTGAAAGGACTCCTAGGAGTTTCTGAATGGGCTGGTAAGGTGGTGAAATGAGTATTCCCGAAAGGGAGAGCTGCAAGATGAGGATGGAGGAGGGAGCAAGCTAGAAAGGGGGACTATCAGCTTCCTGCAAGGGACTGTCCTTTGTGCAGACACTGTCCTGGGCACACTCATCATATCCCTCTTTCTCTGGGTGTGGCTGTTTGAGCTTGTCAGATTTGGAGCCACTGAGAGTGGTAGAACATATTTCTTTTTGGTTTTATACAAACTGATTAATTCAGTATTTTGTTAAATGCTTCTGTGTCAGTAGTACCATGACTTTGTTTATGAGAATTATGAACAATTTCTGTATCCCCAAGTGTTTTCTGAATCATCAGGACTGTCTTCTTTTTTTTTTATATCAGTTAATGCTCATTGCTTATAAATGTCATCTGTGGGTAATTGTAATGTACATGAAAACTATAAAATATTACCATTCAGTCATTTCACAGGTATTATTTGATTCCCGTCATTGTGTTTTAGCAGTTCAGAAAAACACGTTTCAGAGAGGCTAAATGACTTATCCATGGTCACTTTAAAGGCTAAAGAAATTCTCATTTTAAACCCATTTCTTTTATCTCAAATTTTTTTACATCACGGTGAAAATTGGAAGCTAGCACTTAATATACAGGGCAGATGTTTATTAAGCAGAATACTTCATCATTCTAGAGCAAGCAATCTCAATGGAGTGCAGAGATGAACTACATGTTACAGTGCAGTGGTTGTTTCATAAATACTCATGGACAATAATGACATCATCCACCATTCATTCTGAATCAATCTGTCCCAAAAGGAACGCATCTTATAATGTTCCTCAAATATTTTTAAATGACATATTTTTAAATTAAATATTGACAATAATGTTCACATTTCAATCCTCCTTGGGCCTTGGGCTCAATAATTCTTGGTTATGGAGTGTGGTTTTGTCACTTTGATCTCATGGAATTTGCAGACAGCATCTATGTGCATAGTAACAGAACAATTCTGGCTGATAGAGAGAGAGAACGGGTGTGGAGCAAGTGTGGCATGAAACGGACTGTTTGCTTTTTTCCACAGTCTGCTGATTCGACCTGCAAACCCATTCCCCAACTCCATTAGCAAAACCTGTAAAAACACAGGGGCCTCCAAAAAGACAACTCTAACATTTGTAACCCAGAGAGATGTTTTGAGTTGAGAGATCTCAGTTCTATATTTATTTCTTGGGCCTGGGTATTTTTTTGGCTTCAACACTTGTTTCTGGTTGGAAAGCTGAAAAACAAGGATCTAAACACTGAGCGCTTGGATAGTAAAACACATGTTCCCTTTTCGCAGTGACCCTGGAAACAGACGGGGGATTCTTATAAATCACAAAGGAAAATAAATAACCTGACCCATGGAGGGAAAGAGACAACTTGAAAAAAGGGACTTTGGAAAAAGGCTGTCCCTGGATAGCAGTCTTGTGGTAAGTACTAAATATTCATTTACCACTCTATATGTTTTGGCTTAAAGTACATTATTCTTTGACTGTTATTTCCTGAACCCTGTGCTTTTGAAACATCTATTCCAGTTACCCCATTAGCAATATCCCTTGGGATTTTGTTTCATTTTTACTTTACGAACTCAAAAGCCAGCGAATTATTGGAATGTTTGTGTAGTGTCTTAATAGGCAAATGTCATAGTCTGTCAACGTTATATATAATTACATTAATTCCAGCTGAAATCGATTTTAGCTTATACAAAAACACTACTGTACCACTATGCCAAATGCCAAGCCTATATATAGCTGCTTCATCACCCATTTATCTTAACTTTGAGGCTAAGTTGAACAAGAATTCAATGCAAACTTAAATACTGAAGAATTGAGAAAGTGTCAGAGATCTTCTTGGATATAAATTAGTTCACTTATCTAAAAGCTTTCTAAGAATTTTAGTGCTGACAAACATCTTTCTTAACAATCTGATTAGATTTGTTTACGGGTTTGAGAATCATTATAGTAAGTGTAAGAAACGGACTAAGTCACTGATTTTGGAAGCTTGGTCATTTTTTCCCAGGTTCTGGGCTAAAGTGTAGGTCACCTGTTGTGTTCTATGAGGCATGTGAATATAGCAAGAAATGAAATCAAGCAAGCCACTCCTTTCACTTTCATGTAACTACTAAAGCAGAAGGTTAGCTTGGTACCTTCTTTCGCATATTTGATGGGGATGCTCTTTATGCATTTGTATACTCATAGCACCTGGCCCCAAGCCTGCTGCACGAAAGTGTCCAGTAAAATATTGTTGAATTGATTTATCAGTTGTACCTTTAAATTCTGCAGCTATACATCTTACCCTATTGTGTAGAGATTAGTTCTTTACCCCATAAGAGTGAACATTTCCTTTCATAAACTGTTCATGGATGTAGATTCCTGGGAATTGAGAAAAGGATTGCATTAAGGTTTATGTGTATGTGATGTGTCAAGTTCTCTTGTTATTCAGAATCAATTTCTATGACTATGTGTGCTGTGCATTGACCAGTATACCTGTAGAGAACAAGGACTTTGGTAGTGTTTTAAGTTCTTCTCCATGTGATTGTGACCTCATCTCTTAGATCTTGCTGTCTCCAGGTAGGAAGTGGTCCAAATATAGTGTGTATGTTTGTGTCTATTTCTTTTCAACTTCTGGGAAAACCTGCGATAAAGGGATCATTTTTCAGCCTCTCCTTTGTAGAGCAACACACCAATATGGTCTGTCTTGGGCTTAGGCAGGGACAAAGACAGCCATATGGTATCATATGAGCAACTCAGAAATGATTCCCTCAACCCAGAAATATCCTTGTCAGTTGATCTCCAAAACCACAGATTCTTGCTTTGGGTCTCAACTTGTATGCAATGCAAATGCCCTATAAAAGCAAACATACTAAGCTATTGTCTTTAAATAATTCATAGTGGCTCTCATTCATAAAATGCTTTGGATCATTTCCAAATGTCATCCAGATGAACAGAACTTTGTTGAGAGAATTATCAAATAAAAGGATATAGAACATTGAATGCAAGAAGGGCTGGGCTGTGTGGAACAAGGTGGAGCAGGGGGAGATAGGTGACCATAGAGGTACTGGATGCCTGCAAGTCCCAGAAAGAGGAAATAGTATCCATGAAACTTTTGCCCACATTGCAAATTTTGCCTAGAGAAAGCTTGCATATGGGTGTAAGTAAAATCCTGCTACATTATTAGTGTGAGTTGAAAACTCCAAACCAAGCTTGCTTTCCTATTCGCATATGGCTCTACCTGGAGACTAGTGGTGAGCTGTGAATTGACTGTTATAGAACACTGTGAAAAATGAGAACCTATTGTTTATACCACCTGGGAATCTTAATTTTGTTAAATGTCCTTTTATCACGCTTATGAGTGTTTTTGCCTGAGTGAATTATCTTTCTTGTCTTCTTGAAGCAGATTGCTACATCTGCACATCCAGATTGGGACCATCCTGTGACTATGCATGTGAGGGTGCTTAAATGTTGTTGAACAGAATACCACTTTGGCCAAGTGACTACAAATTTTGTGTTATGTTCTCTTCTTTTTTTATGATACTGCTGCTGGGATAATGAGAGCAAGAAGGTGGTGTTTGTGTTGATTCTTTGGGAGGGGGATCTGTCGAAAATGCCTTGAAAGAGCTCTGTTGTGATTGTCAGGAAGAGACCTAGACTGGGATGAAGTAAAAGGTAACTGGCCTTTACAGGACTCGAACATGCTCCGTGCTGAAACCATGCAGACATTAGGCAAGAAGCAGGCAGGGATGATTCCAGATTAGACTTCTGAAAATAAAATAAAATAAAATAAAATAAAATAAAATAAAATAAAATAAAGAACGTGGCATTATTCCAAGTCATATTTTTTAATTTTTATTTTATTATTTTGTTCCTTTCTATTCTCTGTTTTGAATCATAGAATGCTAAAGTGGGAATGAGTTCTATCTAGTCCTTCACCTTGTAGAAGAAACAGTTTAGGGCCCAGAGAGGATAACTGCTTCTCCTGAAGTCATATAACTAGGATTACACCAAGAGTAGAATGTGCATCTCCACCTGTCACTTCAGTTCTTTATCATTTATTACATATTATCCCAGGAAGAGGAAATGTCCTTTTGGGAAACTCACTAAAAGAAAGAGAAGCATATTAAATTTTTAAGTCTTGAAATTCTACTGCAATAATCATTATGACCCATATTTTTGAGAGTTAGGAGGCCCAGAGGTAATTTTGACTTGCATATTTTGCAGAAAAAAATTCCTCATAATGTCCTCCAAGAATAAGGTACTATTAAGTTCATTACACTTTTTACTTTAGATAAGCAAATCATGAAGCATTGAGTTAGAAATTATAGCTCCCTTGCAACAACTTTTAAATTTTTAGGATGGAGGAACTTCAGAATTAAAAAAAAAAAAAAAAACTTAAAGTCCAGATATTGCAAAAAGCTCCTATTGAGGGAATTGAATTTGTGGTCCTTAGTCACAAATTCAGAACCTGACGGGAGAGGTTCGAGAGTGTGAGAGTGTGTTGTGTGTGAGTGTGGGTTTGGGTGTGTGCATATGTGGGTAGGTGTGTGAGAGAGCACTCACTCACATATGCGTGTGCCCTGGTACTACTGAAATACAATCTTTGATGTTGATGATTTTTTTTAACTTTAAAAATTACCCTTTTTAAGGAGAAAATGATAGATAAATGAAACTGAAATGGAAAATATGTTCCAGTGAGGGGCGGGGGTGAAACTCAGAAAGGCCAGTGACGACAGGTTTCCTCCACCAGCAGGCAGGAGTCAAGTAGTCTTATATTCGTGGTCAGTAGGATTTTCTCTCTGATAACAATAGAAATCACCCCAGAAATCGAAGCTTCTTCTTGACTCAAAACTGTTCAGCCCTCCTCAGGATGCTTTTTGATCAAAAAAGTCAGCAGTTCACACTGTGCTTTTTTATTTGCAAAACACATTCCCTGGCTTCATGTAGAGCTGTTTGACACTTGTAGCTGGGATAGCATTTAACTGATGAGAAGGCTGGGGACTGAATGATTTTTTTTTTCCAGCTCACATTTCAATAGCAAACATTCTCCTTTAATTTGGGGAAAAGTACTTTTTTTTTGCTTTTAGGTACAGATGAGAGTAACGGTTCCTCGGATGGATTCCTTCTTGGTATATTCTTTCTTTCCTATTCCACCAAAGGGAGATGAAATGTGGACTGTACTAGATCCTCAGTTCTGACAGCAGTACAGTTTTGATAGATGAATGGGGCAAAAATGGATTTATGTAAATCCTCCATTTCATCCTTTGGCCTCTTAACGATTTGCATGCAAATCATTACAGTAATCGGGCCCTTCTACTGCATCATAACTAAGTGGGTCCAACAGCATCATTGAAAACCTGCTATGGGAATGTGCTAGAGAACTTCTGTTTCTCCCTCTCAATGTACTCTTCATCCTTTGCTACTCAGCTGTGCACCTCACGAACCTTGGGAGGAGGCTCCCTTGCTTCTGGCATCTTGTTAGAGTGTGTCCAGAGGTGGAGGTGTTTGCTCTCCTGCTTTCTCCCTGCCTCCTCATGCATTGCAGTGGCTGGACTCCTCTGTCTCAGGTTGTAGCTTTGGTTGGGCAACCCTTTCTCACACTCCAGTTATAGTTGTAACCACAGCTCTCTGTGTTCTGTCACCTTCTCGGTCCCCGTACCTCATTCAAACTTCTTCATGGGAATGGCCTTTGGATGTTGCCAGTTCATCTCTTGTTGGCTTTCCACAGCCCTGACAATCTTTAGTAAATCTTCCCCTTCTTTGAATGATTGGAGCATACTACCTCTGGCTGATATAGCAAGTTTTCTTTGGCAGCTAACCTAATAAGCAAGAAAAGTAAAATAACACAACATGGAGATAAACATGTGGTGCTTTAGAAACAGGAGCTGAGATCACTTTGGGAGGATGTGAGAAAGTACCATGGAGGAGCTGGTGTTAGAGTCATGAATTGAAGTAATGAAAAGAATTTAGTCATTGAAGACTGGAAGAGTAAGGAAGGAAGGGTAAACCCAAGGACACTGTCCTATACTTCTGGTGACAACCTCTGTCATTATTTGTTTTGTTTTGTTTTGTTTTCTCTCAGGGAAAACTTCTTCCATACATCAAATTTAAATCTGTGCTTCTTTATCTGCAGTTATTTCCTCCCCTGTGTAAGGACTAAAAATAATTCTAAAGGAGGGATTAGAAAACTCTTGCTATAAGGTTCAGAGAGTAAGTACTTCAGATTTTACAGGCCAGATGAATAGCTGCAACTACCCACTGCTGCTTTGCAGCAGAGAAGCCACCACCAACCATAACTGAGCAAATGGGTGTTGCAGTGTTCCAATAAAACTTTATTTATAAGGACAGAAAACTGGCTGGATTCTAAAGGATATCTGCATGCAAAAGAAAAATTAAATATTTGAAAATTTGGGTTTATGTGTTCTTTCCTGTTTTCA